ACCACTTATCTCCTCAAACCTTGGATTTTTCTGGTGATGCTAATGACCAAATGCGTAACTACTGAGCCACATTCCCTACTCCATAATACTAGCTTTATCAGGACCATCTACATCAGATGTTAGTTATAATCTTTCATCATGTATTTTTGCATTTTGTTATTTAGCCATTTGTAAAATAACAGACAGGGTCATGTGCTATTCTGCTTGCTAACAAGTTGGAACCACACTGCAGTTAACAGACATGTTCCATGGAGTGTGGGATGTAGACATGGCACTCGGCATTTATTGGTGGAATAAAAAACAAAAGGGAGACATAGCATTCTCAATATCTGATTGGGACAAAACAATTTATTTGTACGGGGGGATTCTTAAGACATCAAGTTCACGTTCTTGACATGTGCTCTCAAATCGGGTCCCATCTCTCCCCCCCCACGACTTGCGACGTCAGTCATCCAACAGAGTCAAAGTGACAAATCATTGTCTGGCAAAATTTTTTTTAAAAAAGAAAGAAAAGGACATATGAGGTAAGGAAGAAAGAGTGACATCTTAACACATTACTACAATTTTACAATTTTATTTACATGCCCCCTCTCTCTGACTTGGATTATGTGAGCATTACAGCAATGGAGAGGGGTTCTCACAGCACCTCTTGCAAATGAATTCTAGTTTACAGGTAAATTGGTCATTAGAGAATTACAGATCAACACAGGAAGAGCTCAGCTCCCCACACACAGTGACCCTATTTTGGTGCATCTCTTCCCCCTTCTCTTAGTATCGGCTACTTTTCACTGAGAGGGATCATCAAGAGCGTGTGGGAACAAGGCGATCTCACCCGTACCTGTGACGAACCATCCAGAATGGCTTTTATCATTCCAACCATTGGTCTCACATCACAGAGTGTCACGGTCTAATGTGAAGGATGAGGACGACTTAGCACTCGGCAGAGCCAGTGGCGTGTGCCACGTTCCCTCAGGAGGCAACCACGCTTCTCCCAAGATTCTTAGGAATTACAGGCAGCAGGGGTCGGGGGTGGGGGTGGGGGCTGCAGGCAGGCTGAGTTGGTGCAAGGCTCCTCATGCAAGCAAAACTCCACTCATCCAGGCAGATGGCAAAAAAAAGGGGGAGATGCTTAGCACAAAGCTAGACTCTGGCTATCCTTAAACCTTTCCTTAAACCCCTACCCCCTGCTACTCTAAATCAACAAAGTTTTGGGTATCCCGTCACTCAAAACAGTAACCGCAGGCTGAGTCGTAGCAGTCCCTGGGGTCAGTGAACTACAATTCATCACCCCCCCCACACACAAAAAATCACAATAGAGGTCAGTTACTCCTCCCAAATGCTCCACACTCAGGGGAGACCAAATGAAACACTCCAAACAAGGCACCGACACCTGCTTCCTCCCGAGAAACACTCCACTGAGAGCAAAGAAAATGCTTGGAAAACAATAGTTACTAGAAATGACGAAAGGGCCATGACTGTTTTTATACAACAAAAAGCAGAGGGGATAGCTCTGGGTAGATGTGTAAGGCCGAGCATGCGTGAGGCCCTGGGTTCCATTCCTGGCACTGCCAATTTCTTTTTAAAAAGGATGGGGTGGTGTCACTGGCTAGTCCTAGGATTTCTTCTGTGGAAAGATGCCAGTCTTCTAACCTGATACAGGGTAACATGACTCTCTGAGCGTAACAGGTTAAGAGAAAAGGGACATGCATTTCTCCACGGGAACATATCTTGACTTATGGGCCTACTGAGAGAAATTCTGCTGGGCCCACGCTCCCTCTTCCAGCCAGCAGCAGAGCTAGCGGTTCCGGGGTTTCACGGAAGTGAAGAGCAGCAGAATCTTCTCGGCTTACCTAATGCCCGCTTTACCACCCTTCTGGACCTCGCTCACTCTATGAGAAACGCTCATGCAAAAAACACACGGCTCTCTCCTTTTCTCTAGCCACATAGGTCAAAGCAAGCAGGGACTAAAACACGTTTTGTTCCTGGGGGACACTCCCACTGGCAGAGCATAGGTCAGCCCCTGGAGCTGAATCTATCTGGGCATACCCAAAACACCAGGAGAGGAGGACACCTGGGAAGGAGGTCACAGCAACTCTTCAGACAGGAGTGAGGACACAGTCAATGCACTTGACCTTCTGGAGGTGGCCTTGCAGCCTATAAATTCGTGCATGGTAAGGATTACCCAAATTCCTTCACTGCCTATGGGATACCTTGGGGCTAGAGATGCCCGGAAACCCTGGAAAGAGGGTGGCAAGTGAAATGAGGCAGTGATGGTGTTCTCGTTCCCCTTCTCTCCTCCCTGAAAAGCCAGATTTTGGCTCCACATAAGTTATTCCTCCCTCCTCTTGGTTTTCACGAACCAGCAGAGGGTAAGAGTGGATCCTAAGAACTGAGATGCAGCTACGCTCAAGCAAGGATGTCCCCTACCTCCTCCTGACACGTGAGACTGAGTGAAGGCAGAGAAGGAGTCTGCTCTTGCAGACAGCCCCGCACCAGATTCCACTAGAACCGGAGTTCTAAACATCAAGAGCTGAGACAGGAAGAAAGGCCAGACACAGCAGAGGCTGGGGACCTAAGAAAGAAGGGTCTGGAAGTGTCGGATGCACTCCTTGGCCACTACAACGCTAACTCTTGGGGGTTACAGGGATGTTTCCACTCACCACAGTGGCTGGTGAGCAAGAAGCTTGCTTTCACCACCTGAAACCCTTCACCTATCGTGGGAGTTTAAGGGAGCCACTCCAAGGCCACCGTTCTATGATGCTCTTTTTCAAACAAGCAAGCTGGAATCGGATTGGGGCAGTAGAAGAATCTTCTTTAAAGAGGAGAAATTTTTCAAAGCAGCAGACACAAATTTACTTAAAGTGTCTCACAGACCCTCCTCCAAACACTCCCTCTCAATGAAAACTTTCCAAGCAAAGCTGAGAGAAAAGATGGCCACTTTTCCTGGGCTGTTCTTGGTGGGATTTTGGGGTCTCCTGGCTATACTGGCTTCAGTTTCTGGTGTGGTCCGCCAGAACGGGGCATGGCTCGAGCAAAACTCAGTGAAAAAGGGAAGAGGAATGGGGGTGAGTCCCAGCATCAACTTTCAAGGTAATGGTCAGTTGACACCCCTGGGGAACCCAGTAGATTCTGGGGACAGGCCGTGTACAAAACTGCAGGAAGAGCACTTCTATGTCCAGGGCTTTTGCTCACTCCCAGGGGCTGTTATTTATCTGCACTTGTTTTTCACCACTTGCCTGGTTAAACAATGATCTATGGAACCCTGGGTCTTAGAACAGAGTTTCAGGAACACACACTGTGCACAGTGTTTTGTCCTCAAAAAGTAGAGTTCTTAAACAGATCAGAGAAGTTTTGGTTCTTCAAAATAAACTTAACTGGATTTATCCTGAAATAATTTTGCACCAGGAAAGTTTTATATATGTGTATATACATGTAAAAGTTTGTGACTTTGGCAAACCCACCAAAACAATAACTGCAGAGCAAAAGCTTCGGGAGTTCTGTGTCAAGAAGCGAGAGGTGCAAGAAGAGTTGGCAAAGCCTTTGTATTTTCTTATTAACTCGTTCCTTCTTATCACAATCTCTTTTTCACTTCAACTTGCGTGTGCTAAATACAGACGCTGCATCTTTATTTGGTTCTTTTATTAACTATTCTCTGGTCCTTAAAAGAAAAATATGATAAAATTTTGGAAAATCTCAAGGGCTTAAAGCTCTCAGGTGACCGAAGATAGCTTATTCTTGAGACCGTTTTTTAAAGAGTCACAAACAGAGACACAGCTTGCATCTTTAGTTGAAGACATTGCACAGACATACCAGCTGGTGACCACAGGCCAGGAAGAAGTTGGACTGGGAATCTTCACCAGCAAAAGAAGCCATTAAAAAGCAGAGACATGACAAACTCTCAGCACTCCTTTCTCCCATTCTGTTCCCAAACCCCCCCACCCCCATCACCCCAACAGCTACTAAAGGGTAAGCTGATCACAAACACGAGGGAATCAGCAGCTCTGTCTACCTACACTTTGGTCATCAGAGTGAAGTGAGAACTCCCACCTGGTCATGTCCGCATTTGCTCTTTGGTTAGGCAGTGAGTAGATAAAGCTTTCCGACAGAGATCCTCCTACCTGCTATCAAACAGACTCAAAGCAGAGGACCCCAGTTTAGCAAAGGGTTTACATGTGCAGAACTTGTCAAGGAAAAAAACAGAATGTCACAGATGGGCAGGGAGACCTAAGTTCCAGAGCCACGTCACCATGACCTCAGGACGTCAAGAACCAAGGGAACCAGTATTCCCAAGAGGGAGCATTTCAGCGGGGCCGGATTTTGCAAGGGAGAGTGACACCTTCGGTCCTTCAGAGAGACATGACAAAGCGGCTACCTGAGCAGAGCAGTCACCAGCCTTTCCAGTTCACTCCGAATGGGGACCCAGACTGGGCCGAGGCTGTCTGAACTGGAGGAGGACGTGCTGGACACCACCCTTTGGTCCCCCACCTGGCAGGGCGCCTGCCACTCTTCCGAGCCGGGGGAGGTCCCCCATCCCCACCCCACAGGGCGGCTGCCAGACAGGGCGTTTTCACCAGCCCCAGGGGAGGAGTGACCGTGAGCGGGGAAGAACCCAGAAGCGGGACGTCCCCTCGGAGGGTAGAAAGGACAGGTCGTGTGGAGGGGGCGGAGCGGGGACAAGACCCCGGCTCAGGAGGCGCCTGGCCAGGGAGAGCTATGGGGAGCCGCGCACTGCTGCTCCAAAAAGGCGAAACTGAAGAACACACAGCCCGTGACTACCTGGCGGGTGGGTAATGATCCCACGGCCGCCACCTCTGAGCGCCAGGGTGGCGGCCGGCGGAAGGCACTTGCTCCCGAGAGGCGGCCATGCCGGGGCCAGCAGGAGCTGTCCAGGGCCAAGTCTGCAAGGCGGCCGGGGGAGGGCGACAGCCTGGTGGCCCGAGCCAGAGGCAGGCCAGGGGCCGTGTGATTTCACAAGGGGAATAGTTATAAAATAAAACTTTTTAATGGACCAAAAAAAAAAAAATGCCAGTGAATTCACCTTTTTTTTTTTAAAAAAAAAAGGTGAAATGTAGCAAAGGAAGGAGGTGAAGTCATTTTCACTATTTACAAAATGCCACTGAGAGGGGAGGTGGCCACCGTCGGTAGCTGAGGAAGTGTCTTTCAGTGGAGACGGCCACGGAAGGGTGGCTCCTGGCACTGGCTCAGAAAGGCCACGCAGTGTCCGGAGTGAGGGCGAGTTCCTCTAGGGAGCACCAAAAAGGCTCAGTCTTCCGTCTCTTCATACGTTGTCTCGTCAAAGGGTCTGTCCAGGAGAGGAACCAACCGGTGCCGGGAATACTTGATCTGCAACAGGTCCCCAACTTCATCGATCTCCTTGAGCGCCTGAAAGGCAGAGGCAGGCAGGGTGACGTGGGGGGCGGACGCAGGCACGGCCGACGCTTCATTTTTCGACAGTCACGGTGAGGAGCTGCTGGGGTCTGGGGCGTGTCCATACCGACTAGCTGATCCCCGGGGAACAGCTGAGGCCAAAGCTGCCTTCCGAACCCACCGGGGAACAGCGCATGTGAACAGCAGGGATGCAGGATAAAGGGTGACAGGCCGGGAGGGAAAGGTGGCCACCACTCGGAACTGCCGCTGCCAGCGACAGTCCTTGCTCTCTCCTTCACCTTCCAACCCACACCAGAGAACAGGGGAGACTTGGGGGAGGGCCAAGGGGATGTAAGGCCAGGGAGGGGGCAAGGAAAGGGGAGAGGTGGGATCTGAATGCAGATCTGAGCCGAAACACCCAAACTAAGAGTGGAAGGATAATCTTGTCATCTACCCAGAACTCTACTCAACGTTCACCCTCCCTTCCCTTGGCTGCTGAAAGATGGAGACAGCGCGTTGGCTGGGTGCAGCCCCGGGCATGGGGTTCATGCACTCTATCTGTGGTGTTTCTGCATCCTGACGTGTGCCTGGGCTGTCATATCCTGCCATGGGGGTCCCAAGCAGCAGAACCCAGACCATGCTCACCACTTGTGGGCAGCTATGCACACTGAATGCTTGCAAGGCAGGCGCTTTCAGTCACTCAGCCAGCCTGGCCCCCAATGTAATGTTTTTTGTTTGTTTAGAGGCCATGTCCAGTGGTGCTCAGGGGTTACTCCCAGCTTGGTGCTCAGTGGTCACAGCAGGTACTGGTGCCAGGAATTGAACCCCAGCCAGCCTCCTGCACGCAAAGCGCATGCTTCAGTTGGGTGAGTGATCTCTCTGACCCTCAATATAACTTTGTTTCTGTAAAGCTTGCTCTTTTATCTTTCCAAAACAATAAGTTTTTGAAAAACAAACTTTATTAAATTAAATCAAATAAAAAAAATCAAAAAGTCGAGCAATAATCTCTTCTTCATGATCACGATCATCCTGTTGTTTCGTCGACTGCCTCGAGCAGGCACCAGTAACGTCTCCTTCGTCCTATCCCTGAGATTCTAAAAAGTGCCACATTCAAGGCTCTTTCAGGGTTAGGAGAATGAGACCCGTCATTGTTACTGGTATTTGGCATATTGGGTACGCCACGGGGAGTTTGCCAGACTTTGCCGTGTGGGCAGGTTACATTCAGTAGCCTGCCAGGTTGTCCAAAGCAAGAATGAGATAATAAGATCTCAATCTCTTCTTAAAAAAAAAAAAAAGTGGGTGGGGCACACCCAGCCACGCTCAGCATTTATCCTTCTCTTTGCACTCAGGAATGGGGTACCAGGAAGCTGAACCTGGTTCAGAAGTGTCCAACACAAGTGCCCTGCTCGTTGTACTACCACTCCAGCCACACGAAGCCTCTTCTAGACTGCGACTCTAGTCCTACCTGTAGGAACTAACCCGTGTACAACTACAGGATCTGGTTGATGTGTTACATTCATAGAGAAAAGAACGGACGTCACAGTTCAGAGATAACCTTTCCCCAAAATACCGAGCAAAAACAGAAAATTACAACCGAGAAAGGATTCATGTGTTCAGACATTCTCCGGGGGAAGAAAAAAATGGAAAGACCGAAAACTCTAAGCCCCCCAACAGCTTTCAGAGAAAGCCAAGGAAGAGAACAAGCACCAAACACACTGACTAACCCCTCCCCTAGTTTACGCCGTCCGAGGTGCATGAAGATCACCAGAGGCTCATACTGTCAAGCAGGAGGCATGCTTCTGCCGAGGTGAAAGGGCGACTTACTGTATCGAGCATTTCTTTGGTATGAGACGCTGACAGGCAAAACCTGGCTCTGGACTCAATGATGGGGGTCGCCGGGAATCCCACCACCACAACGCCAATGTTGCGCTTCAGCAACTCCCGTCCAAAGGCGCTGCAGAGGGAGACAGAGGAGGCCAAGAAGCCGGAGGTGAGTAAGCACACACTGCGAGGTCCCCCCGCCATGTGGGGTCTTGTGGCTGGGTGAGAGAGGCACTGAGCACTTCCACTCAGAGCTTCCTACGGGCTTCTTTCCCAGAGGGGAAAGGATCTGGGTCACGGAGCAGTTTTAAGGTTTGACTACGCTGGGTTTGGCTACTGTCATTTGCAACTGTTGTCTCAATACTGTCCCTGACATGGATCAGTAGGTCAGAGGCTTGAAAATACACTTGGCGGAGTCCTGCCAGAAATAAGCACTAAGCACTGTCGAGTGAAGCCCAAACACTGGCCCCCCTCAAAAAAGTTTTTTTTTTACCCGAGTGCCTGAGAACAGATGATTGGTTAAAGAAACTTTGGTACATCTACACAATGGACTACTATGCAGCTGTTAGAGAGGGGAAGTCATGAAATTTACATACAAGTGGTTCTACATGGAAAGTATCGTGCTAAGTGAAATAAGTCAGAAAGGAGGGACAGACATAGAAAGACTGCATTCATCTGGGGAATATAAAGTAACAGAATGGGTGAAGAACATCCAAGAATAGTTGAGATAAGTACCAGGAGGTCTGCTCCATGGCTTGGAAGCCGGCAGCACATGCTATGGAAAAAAGCAGCTCAGATAGAGAAGGGAACACCAAGTAAAGGGTGTTTGAAGGATTCGCTCGGGATTTGAAATGTGTGCTGAAAGTAGACTATAGACCAAACACAAAGGCCACTCAATACCTCTATTGCAAACCACAACACTGTAAAGGAAAGAGAGAGCAAAAGGGAATGCCACAGAGGCGGGGCAGGGTGGGGGGAATAGGTGGGGTGGTGGGAGGGCTACTGGGATCATTGGTGGTAGAGAATGGGCACTGGTGGAGGGATGGGTACTTGATCATTGTATAACTGAAACCCAAGCACAAAAGTTTGTAAGTCTACAACTGTACCTCACGGTGTTTCACTAATAAAAAATAAATTTTTTTTTAAAAAAAGTTGTTTTTGTATAAACTCTTTGAGGGCGGCCAGGGGGAGGCCCCAACGGCTCTTCCCCTAGCCACCCACATTCGCCCAGCTGGGGCAGCCTGGGACATGGGGAAGACAGTGGAGGAAATGAGGGCCAAGCCAGTTGATTGATCAGATGCCATTTATTCCATCCTTCCCATGCACCTGACCAGGTCTCCCTGAGCCTCCCATTCTAGTCTCTCACTGCCTCTCAGTCCTGTCTCCTCCTGTCTCTCCCGCTTATCTCTCCATGCTCCATCTAGAAGCCTGGGCTCGCTCTCTCTCTCTCTCTCTCTCCACGTGCCTGCTCCTGTATTCTTCTTCTACATCCTTCTCTCTCTGTGCCTCTTGCGAGTCCCTCTGCACTCCATCATGCTGCCCTGCTCTTTCTCTCACTCTCCAACTCTCTCGTCTCTCCAACTCCCCAGCACTCTGGGCTGACATGGCACCCAGTCAGGTAGCCAAATCAACATAAGACAGCCCTTCCTGAGGGTCCAGCAAGTTCAAAGGGAACACCACCTAAAAGGTATTCCAAAGTCTTTCCTGACTGCCTAAGGGCAAAATACCTAAGATGTTTTTCTCCTTTCCTCAGTCCAATAACTCTATCAACCTCTCAATACTAGTTATTTTTGTATGGAAACAGTAAGAGATAACACTGAGGCTTGTAGGACAGCTCTCCTGGGAACATCTTGCCACAGGCTCAGACTACAGCCCTCAGACCAGATTAATCATTCCTAACCCTAGAAGGGTCCAACTCTAGTTACTACTTTTTGGATCCTGACAGCATTTGTCCATGCCCAAGCTCTTATAGTTAAGCATTATGGCTCTTTGGCCAGGTCCATCTCGATGCCGGGGTAGCACATAGCTTACCGCTTGCCCTGGTTCCATTCAGTCCCTCATCGGGGACCCTGTTTTGGGGGATGCTAGGAAGTAAAGGCATCTGAGGCTTAGGTCAGAGAACAGATGCCCAGGAGGGAAATACCACTGAGAGTCACATTACAAAAGCATAGCATATACTGTCTTCTTGTGTCCATAGGAAAAGGACACTGCTCTGAATAAACTATGCAAAGGACATAGGGAGAAGAGAAAAACAGTATTTACAAGCCAACAGAGCACAAAGAAAGCAGCTACAAATAAACACAGAGAAATGGGAGCACTGTGATAGAAGCCACCCAATAGACCTAAACTACCTGAGGCTTTGCAGGAAGGACAAAACAGTGTTATCCTACAGTTTTTTTTTTAATGGAAGAGACGAATATGTAATAGGTAAGATAATTTACCCAATTTTTGCTGGCATGTACAGCATCAAAGGCACCACTGGGGAATCTTCATTGCCATAGATGATGAAGCCCATCTGTTTCAGACGTCGCCGGAAATACCTGGTGTTCTCCGCTAGCTGCTGCACACACTCTTTGCCTGGAAGATGACGAGGGAAACAAAAGAGCACTGAGAGGAACGTAATAGGGAAAAGATGCTGATCTCTTCTACCTACATCCCCTATATCCCAGCTCATCAGCCCAATGTCATTTTTCCCTCTCCAATACAACTATTTTTGCCTAGCGAATGCTACAGAATATAAATAAGTGCTTCTTGGAATGAAGCAACGATATAGCAGGTAGGGCACTTGCCTTGGATGTGGCTGACCCAGGTTTGATCCCTAGCACCCTATGTGGTCCCCGGTGCCCCGTCTGGAGTGATCCTTGGTCACAGAGCCAGAAGTAAGACCTGAGCACTGCCAGGTATGGCTTAAAAACCAAAATTACAAAAAACTGAAAATAATCGTCTCTTGCTTATAATAAACTAGGCATTGACAACAGATTTTTTTTTAAATCTTTTTGTTTTATTTTTGGGCCACACACACCCAGCAGTGCTCAGAGCTTACTCCTGGACCTGTGCCCAGATATTATTCCTGGCGATACTCGGGGACCAGAGTATATGTGGTGATAGGGATCAAATCTGGGTCGACAGTGTGCAAGGCATGTGCTTCACCAGCTTACTATTCGTCTGGCCTTTCCAATCCTTTAACAGAGGCCAATTTCATCTGTGAGAGGCGCTTTATAATTTTTATTTTCACTTCCCTAATAATGAGTGATAATTCCCTAACACACAGTCCCTAGACTATGGGTAGGATCTCTGATCACTCTATCAGTTAAGAGACTTTTACAAAGGTGGTGAGTAGCCTAACAGAGCTGGTAGTGGTGACAAAGCAGAGATTAGAATCCAGTTTTCTCAACTTAAATATTCATTCCAACTGAGCACAATCAATTACACAAGAAAAAGACCGGACACTGAGCTATTCAGAGCCCAAAGGCATCCTCATAAGAGTTTGACTTTTGAGTGACAGAGAGGATAGGATGGAGTTGAGGTGGTGCTGATGGCGCAGATCCCTGATACCCGGGGAATGGGTGCTCATGGGTCAAGCACTGAAATACATGCTAGCTGCCTGATCCTTGAAGAGAGACCAACTGCATTAGCAAGGGATGTAAAGTGGCCTTTCAGAGATGAGCATTATGCTGTGCGTACACACGCTGATTCACGATGCAGGGTGCCTGACACCACACGCTGCTGTCAGTCAATGTTTACTCCAATGAAAGGTTTTCAAATGTCACTTTAATATTCTACCACCGTGACTCAAAGACTATGCTGTTTCATGCTCATTTAAATTAACAGCATTCTCTTGCATTGAATTTAGGCAGTACAACAAAATCTAGTTAGGACAACTGATGAATCTCTTCTCAGCAGGAGGAATCTTGGGCTTATGCTGAGGAGAGGGTAGGTGTGCCTTAACGGTTGCTATTGCAACAGTTCCAAGAATTGTTAATAGTTTGCATTGGCAGAAAATCTTAGATGTAATCAAAATGGCACTTTCGTAAGAAACCACTGCACCTGGGCAAAGAAAAATTCAGATTCCTTTCATGCTAAATACTTAAACCATAACATTCACTGGTAACTTCTAAAATGAAGAACAGACTTAGTAAGCTTTGCTACCTCCTCCTTGTAGAAAAAGAGGTGACTTTAAAAGTAATTTCACCTGAGAGGATTCATTTCATTTCCATAACCAGGTGACAACACGAAGTGGAAGAAGCAGGATTTGAACTCCCTGGCTTCAAAGACTGTATTCTTCATCCCTATATACTAAGCCACTCTAGTTTGATTCAAGTCACAAGAACCAAAGGGAATGTCATGTTACATGAATGCACAAGGGGAGCAAAGGAGTTTTTTTTTTTTTAACTTACTGACACTTAAAACATTACACTCCGGGGTTTATAAAGGTTAGCTTTCCTACTGAAGGCCAGTTCTTGGTTTTCGTCGCCCTTGGGTGTCTGTTATTCCCCTGTTTCTTTTTTCTTTTTTAATTTTATTGAATCACCACGAGATAGTTATAAGCTTTCATGTTTGGGTTACAATCACACAATGATCAAATTCCCTTGTTTCTTAACAACACTCCTGCGAGAGACCATTCCGTCCTCTCCTTCTGGATAACTTTAACTGCCTGTCCAGCTCCTGAGAATTTCTGCTTCACACTACCTGCATGGCCCCCTGCAGAGCCCCCTCTCCCTCCGCCACACCTCCCTGCCTCTTCAGCTCTGCACATGTGCTCCCAGGGGCAGAAGGGGACCCCAGAAATCTGGTTTCACCCTGCACTCCCCTCTCCTATCTCCACCACAGGTTTCTGTACCCCTCCTGTCTTCTGAAGGAGGTACCCTGAAAAACTTCCCTGTATTCTAAGGACTGTCTTCATATTCTTCATAGTGTAGTTCAAAGAACCAAAGCTTTTCATTTAGGGGTCCAATTTATCTATTTTTTCCTTTGGTTTGCTTGTTTTCTGGAGTGTCATAACCAAGAAACCAATGACCTGAAGATTCATATCTATGCTTTCCTTTTTCCTGGTGGAGGAGGACATCCCAGTGTCTGGGAGTCTTTGGTGGCCCCTGCTGGTAATTCTCGACTTTGCCTGCAGTTCAATGTGAGGATCCAATGATGCAGAGTTGCTCAGGCCCTGTGGTGCCTGAGATCACCCAGGTCACCTGGCAGAGCTCAGAGACACACCTATATTGTCTGAAAGTTTAGATTTGGCTCTTTCTTTGGGGCATTTTATTTACTGTACTCTTCCTGGATATAATGTGAGGTAGGATTCAAATGTAGTTACAGAAGTGAGCAAATAATTTACAATTACTGAGTTGTAAAAGCTGTTTATTCATTCTGTTTGCCAGAAATCAAAATAGTGAATAGAAATCAAAATAGCAGAGAGAAATGAACTGGCAAGAGGCCCCAAATCGTCTATATCAAGACTCAGGTGGCTGTTATTGCTGTGTATTTTTTTTTTCAAATAAATTTATTTATGGAATCACCGTGAGAGCAGTTACAAAACTTTCGGGTTTAAGACTCGGTCGTACAATGATGAAATACCCGTCCCTTCACCAGTGCACATTTTCCACCACCAAAACCCCCAGTATATCCCAATCCCATGCCCTCTCCCTACCTGTGTGGCAGATGATTTCCACATTATTCTCTCTCTACTTTGATTACACTCAGTATTTCGACACCAGACCCACCATCACTATTTGGGATTTTACCCCAACACTCAGATCTGCCGAAAAGGCAGCATTAGACAATTTGCTTTCTATTCTTTTTTTTCTTTTTGGGTCACCCCCGGCAATGTTCAGGGCTTACTCCTGGCTCTTGCACTCAGGAATCACTCCTGGCGGTGCTCGGGGGACCATATGGGATGCTGGGAATCGAACCTGTGTCGGCCATATTTGCTGCGTGCAAGGCAAACGCCCTACCCGCTGTTCTATCGCTCCAGCCCCTTGTTTTCTATTCTTGATTGTAATTCTGAAGTTTTAATAATTAAATCTGGAGGGATTTCTGCCAAAAGCCACTAGGTTCCGAGATTTGTTTCTGAGTCTCTGGGATCATGGCCGTTAAGCAGCTTGATCGGTCTTATTGCTATGTATTTATTTGTTGAACTGCATGCCTAAGATTTGGGTACTTTACTGTATGAATGTCATTTACAATAAAAAAAAAAATCTAAAAAGAAATTTTAAATCAACCAGAGTTTAAAAAAAAATAATTAGGTTAAAATTCTGATTCCAGGTCTAGAGCCATAGCACAACAGGTAAGGCGTTTGCCTTGCATGCGGCCGACCCAGGTTCGATTCCCAGCATCCTATATGGTCCCCTGAGCACTGCCAGGAGTAATTCCTGAGTGCAAGAGCCAGGAGTAAGCCCTGTGCAATGCTGGGTCTGACCCCAAACACAAAACAAATAAGTAAAATTCTGATTCCTACATTTATAATCAAGTATGTCCAATTAGTATTTGATAACCACCCTTTATCTTTTGGGCAAGGTAATGGGGGGGCACACCTGGTGATGCTCAGGGGTTATTCCTGACTCTGCACTCAGGATTTACTCCTGGTGGTGCACATGGGACCATATGGGAAGCCGAGAATCAAATATGAGTTGGCAATGTGCAAGGCAAGCGCCCTCCCCACTGTACTATCTCTCCGCTCCTCATTTTCTTAAAACAAAGAAAAATAACAGCCACTTAGATATCATGGGGTGGGTCAAGCATTTTCCTCTTAGCTTTGCTGTTTAAGACAAGGTTGGAGAGTATGGTGCCACCCAGCAGGTTAACCTGTACCTGCAGGGTGAGTGCATCAGCAGCCTGATGGTGCCTTCAGGCTTCCTGATACCCCAAAATTGCCGCTGTGCCTCTGGCCATGCCCCAACAACGTGGGACCAAGTTTCCCGAGAAATTAAACAGCCAAAAGTTAGATATATGGGAGTCACACAAACAAATCACCTCCAGCTCCACTATACAAGCTCATTTATCGGCCTCATTTCAGAAACCCCTGGATAAATCTCAAAAGATATCAAACTCAGGCCATTTAAGCACATTAATGGCCATGATTCAGAGACTCGCAAATGAATCTCGGAAGAGAGCAGCACACCACAGAGATGCCTCCGGACACCAAATATTTTAAAAATTTTAGAATTCCAGGAGTGCTTGGCCACTTTCATGGCTGTATGACATCTCATACTATTCATAACAAGCAATACAAAACAAATTATTTAGCATCTGCCTATGGGGCAGGTTTGGGTGGTGGTGGGAAAATTTGAAATAATTGTGGTGGGAAGATGTAATGTGGTGGGATTGGTGTTGAAATGCTTAATGTAAATAATTACTGTGAACAACTTTATGAAAATAAAATTTTAAAACTTTTTAAAAAGTAATGTGGAGTTCACGCCTGCTTCAGTGGCTGAATAAATAGCAGTACTCCTACATTTAAAAAATAAAAAAAAAAAACTTGGAAGACTACTTCATTCTGATGCTAGGTGAGGAATTCCAAGCAGAGAGTGTTATCAGAACGGCATTCAGAGCCTGGAAAAAAACCAGTAGGGAGCAAGAGCTTC